CTCCCAGATCACCAATTCGGCTTCCGAAAACAACATTCAACAGTAGAACAAATCCATCGCATAAACCCATACGATCAGCCAAACCCTCGAAAAGAAAAAATATTGCTCAGCGGCTTTCCTAGATATCCAACAGGCATTCGATAAAGTATGGCATGAAGGGCTACTTTACAAGCTTAAAAAGATCTTACCCTACCCCTACTACTCCATCCTAAAATCCTACCTAACCAATAGACAATTCATAAAACCCACCCTAACCAATAGACAATTCATGGTTAAATGCCTAGACGCCACTTCCGCAACATTCCCAATAGAATCCGGCATACACCAAGGTAGTGTCCTACTGTACTCCATCTACACTGCCGACTTACCTATACCAAACGAAATAACAATAGCGACATTTGCAGACGACACAGCGCTATTAGCTACCCACGCAGACCCGGCAATTGCCTCATCCACTCTCCAGCGATGTCTCGACTCCATGAAAAGTGGTTTCATAAATGGGGCTTCAAAATTAACGAAAAAAAATCTTCACATGTAACCTTCACGCTCCGAAAACAAACCTGCCCCCAGGTCACCATCAACAACACAATAATTCCTAGCAAGGACTCAGTCAGATACCTGGGCATGACCCTGGACAAGAGACTAACTTGGAAAAAACACATCTCAGATAATACGAAGCAACTAAAGGACAAACTAAAAAAATTCTATTGGCTCACTGTCCGACGCTCCAAACTAAACATACAGAATAAAATTACCTTCTACAAGACCGTAATAAAACCTGTCTGGACCTACGGAATCCAACTATGGGGAACAGCAAGTAACTCCAACATTGAAATACTCCAACGCTTCCAATCGAAAACGCCAAGATCCCTAATTGACGCACCTTGGTATGTAACCAATGAAACAATACACCGTGACCATTGTCTTTTGTTTTGCCATTTGTTTTGCAAAACGTCGCGCGACAAACGTCGTTCGGTTTGAGGATCACTATGCGGGGAGAGATATTTTGACCGATTTTTAACTGTCAACGACTAAAAAGCCGAAAACGCAAATTTTTTATTCTTGACTTTTTCAGCTTCAACAAACGCCCCTTAAATTTCCTGCGAAATTACTTGTAATCTAACAACATCTTGTACAATATGTACGATATGAGAATATCCCAAAATAAGATAAAGTCTCAAAAGGAACATATGTGGTTACGAACTATATCTCTTGTAAAATTACTCACCTTTCATTCCCATAGAGAATTCGTACAATTGAAAAATAATAAAAACTCCTAAACTTGATTTTTAATAAGAAACTGACAGTTCCTAACGTCAAGTTTTGACTTTTATAGCCAACTTATCGTACTTTTAAGATATCAATATCTCTTCTTGCTTTATTTCAGACGATAATATCACTAAACAATGAAAGTTTAGATTATTTCCAAACGATAATTTCCATTATTATCTTACTCACAATTTTAGAGTTATCATTCAGATTTAAATCGGATTATCTTTTCGGGCTTCACATACCAAGGGTGCGATGGAGGGACAATAATGCTTAATAACGATACAGAAAGTATGTTATATACTTAGATATATACTTAGAAGGGTTGTGTATGCAAACTGTGATCAAAGTCTTGAGAACGTCGAGGAATTCGAAGCAAGCAATTCTGTATAATAATTTCGATGAAAGAAGTAGAATACTCTTAGAAAAGTATCGTAAAAAGAAGTAACTAATAACAGACAACTACAATACATACATGGTATAACAGAATAGAATTATTCGATTGGATGTACTGACGAAGATTTAGAACGAAAGTTTTTAAAATTTTTATCCTGTTACACGATGATACAGATAAGATCGTGACATTATTAGATTGTAACATAATCTTACTGATTAAAATGTAAATACCTTGAATTATAAATCGGAAATATGTTAGTCATTGCGCCAATTTCGTATATTTACCGTGAATTATATATTATCGTAATGGCAATAGACGGCTTTTTATATTACTCGGTATATTATATTTATATTGCTATTTTCCATTACAACGTGTGATTTAATTCTTTCCTTGACTTGTTATACTTAATTTCCTACAGATTTTGGCACGCTAAATTTAAACCCAACCTAGACCTGCCCAAATTTTATTCAGAATGACGATAAGAAGCAACCATTTGAAATAATTTATTTTGGATCTTTATTTTCACTATTATTATTAGAAAATAAATGGGAAATCATGAACGGGAAAGATAAGTGCTTACTGACCCTATTAAGAAACGAACACACCAAAATCACTTACGTCCTCCAAACAACTCATTCTCAGCAAAATGGACCGAACATATTGCACCACCTGCGGAAGTCAGCCGCTAACAACACACCACATACTATATATCTAACATCTAAGAAATACAATTCAGCTTGTGAAAGAGTCCAATCTGTATAAGAAAAAATGTTACCTTAAGAAATCTTTGCAACAATTTGCCGTAAGCAAACCTCTCTCTTCAAAATGTTCATCCGTGAGAGATCTTTGCCTGGGCCTATCTAATATTGTTGCGAGAGAAAATAACCGTTCAACTAGTGTGCTAGATGAAAAAAGCTTATTATTCTTCAGAAAACTATTTCCTATCGAATAATCATTTAACACGGACAAATCGAAGCTTTTATCTTGTCAATTAAAATGTCAATTTAGTCATTTATTTTTATCTTCGGATAACACACGTGGAATTGTTAGCTGTATCATCTTCGTCTCTTTCAAACCCGTAACCTTCATTTACCTATGATTTCTCAATAGGGCTAATAACATCTTCGTGATAATGCTTTGCTGACATGATCGTATTAATGAAAACTGAGCGTAGAAGGTATACCTGATAAATAGGTCATCCGATATTATTTCAAAGAACAATTTCACAATTATTTCAAATAGTTATAAAATAAAGTAGCTTGTTATTTGAAATAATATTTCAAATAATGTAATTTCAGAAGTGGTCACAGGCATGAAAATAATTATGAAATAAAATAACGTCTGAGCGTGCTAGTAAGTGATTATAACGAAGATGTTAATTAGATAAACAAATAAAATCACGATTTTACTGAGTTAACATTTGGGTTTATATTTTTTTTTCTGCATTGTATTTATTCATATAGAGTACAGAAAAAAATATCGCACGAAATCGGTAAAATCCTTTACGAGATTACGACACGGTACTCAATCGTGGAATCGTATATATCTGTACTAATTACCACTATTTTCATATGTTAAACCGTTGTAATATGAATTTGATCAAAATATATATGCATGAGCGATAGCAATCTAGCCACTCGATAATATACGATTACGAATCTCTGAGCAAAATCCCATTACATAGTTAAAAAACATATTTGAATATTATAAATAACTAACAAAAGATCATTGATGCTGTATATATATTCTCACCTAAAATTATCATCTTAATTTTTGTCGTTATTACTATTCGCAGCGAATTCGATGGAAATTGAATGGTTTCAGGGGGTGCACATTCTGATGTTAATAGCTTTCTCTGTGGGTAACTATATGGCGGATATGTTGAGAAATACATTTTTAGAACAATAAGAGTGTTCATTTTAAGCTACAATAGTATAAAAAATTTTTCAGTTAAATAATTTTAAAATCAGTTTTGAAATCGGTTTACTCCAATCAATCGATAAGATTTATGATAAATTCCTGTAGATAACGAGAACCCCGAAGCAAAACTATTCGTAAAGATAAGAATTCAAAATAATTTTGACGTCGTTTTTCGTGGAAATTCTGTTTACGTTGAAGTATACATACGTCGCGATAAAACATTGTTCTTGTCATACCCCTTATTTGTACCTTTGACATACATTAATTAATTTGTAATTTTCATTAAGAAACTAAGTACCAACGAGTGTTTTGATAAAATGTAACGTACATAACTTTCGTTGGAAGAAAATATTGCTTAAAGAATAAAGGAAAAACGAGAGATTTAAAGCCAAAGATAGTACCTGCTATTGCACAAGATCTAGGAATATTTGTTCTTTATTTCAGGCACCATTAACGAAATTCGACGAAACTTCGATATTTTAAAATTAACTTCTTCAATTCAATTCAATTCAAACAATCAATCAATAAGATTACAGTAAGAATTATTCCATTTCGATCGATATTTTCAAATTGGTTCCTTTCGATTGAACCAATAGCCGTTTCTATGAATTTAGATATCGCTAACTTGAGCAGTTTATATTTGTAATAAAGTCTCTATATTACGTTAAGCGAAGCGAAAATATGTCTATAATTTTAATATTTTACAAATGATTTGACGTAAAATGTCAACGTCGCCGTTAATATATCAGTAAAAGCGAAATTATTAGATCATGTTTAAAACTTACGATTCGTGATAAAATTTGATATCGCGACATTACTTGTCATTTATATGTCAGTGAAATACAAAAGGATTATCTTTTGTGAATAAATTTTACTTATGAGTAAAGAAAATATATTCCATCGATAAGGTAGATTTCGATATTTAATTTTAAGCTACCGACGGCTGAAAACATTTTGTCATTATGAAAATTGTGAAATTCACAGAATACAATGCAATATGACGAAACTTTTATTTCCATTTTATTTTCTACGATCAGATCTTTCATATTTCACATGATATTTTCGGTTTATATTAGTTGTGTACTGTTGTATGCTAATGCCTTTGGAAATGGATTATTTTAGAAATCAGTGTACAAAATAAAATAGTGATAATAACAATGAATAATATCAATAATGATAAGGAGATAGATAGTAATCAGAATGATCGAATATATAAATCAAATTAATGTTTTGAACCACTGAACAACACGTAGTATTGTAAAAATTCTATTTCGGGCAATGTCCTTCACCTTGATCGGTCGCGTTCGAATATTTATGATAACAACGAGGATCCTTATTCGCACACTTTCCGAGTACATAATCAAAGCAAAATCCATCGTTGCGTTAATCACGATATTTTGATCCTTTTTCACATTTATAGTAGACTGTACATTCACATTCATGAGGCATTATACTATCAGCATTACTAGTACAATCAAACGATATGCAGTCCGACAGTAAATTTACATATTCAGGTCAAGCACATTCTCTAAATATTTTATCGTAATACAGATCTTTGGGAGGTCTTTGCCCGAGAATCACGTTCGTATCCTCTCACCTATAGTATTTTGTGCAATTTTCGTGAACGAAGTTGTTGTGAGTTAAATAGATTTTGGCGCATTCCCCAACGTCGTATGGGCTATTCGCGTAGCAGTGAGCTTCTGCACTATCAACGCATCTTTCTTGTTCATAGTCAAAGTATTTTCCGTCCTTGCAGAATACAAGATATTTCATTCCGTTTCTGCATCTGTAGTATTTGTCACAGTGGCATTTATGAGGAATATTGGTTCCCGTAGAATTAAGCCAGCAGGGGAAAGGTTCGCACGACACGTTACGCAGATTTTCTGGCCACTCGCATTTGTGTGTTTCCCGATCGTAAAATTGTTTATTAGGACAAATTTCAATCTTGGAGTTTCCATTTTCGCATTTACAATACTTGCGGCAATCTTCGTGGGGCAACGTGGTATCTGTTGACGAACATTTGCCTTCACAGCCATCCATAATCCCTTCGGGATAACAGCGAACCCTGCTTGATGGCTTGCATTCCAAATCTATCCAATCAAATTTTTGCCCAGATGGACAGTACTGCGATTCTTTCTCACCGTGGCGACATACGTAATATTTATTGCATTCGTAGTCATGATGATAAAACTTTCCTTCTTCGCAATCGGAGACGATGCATTTTGCATCTTTTGGATAGGTACAACTCTGACTGTCACGACTGTATTGAAGATCCGGAGCGCATTCCTTTGACACTTTCTTACCATTTTCACACTCATAATATAGAGAACAATTTTTGGGATTAGGGAAACGACGAATCCAATTCTTACAACCACAATCACACTCGTTTTCTGATGGATCAGAGCCGCCTGAAGTAAAGCAATTACGATTATTCTTTGGTATATCACACGATTCGATTAATGGATTGAAGACGTATTCTTCAAGACACGACCGAAGACATCTGTAACCATTTTCACAATCGTAATACAACCTGCAATCTTTTTCATGTTTAAGGCGTTTACTACCATATGTTGGACAATCATTCGAATAATGACAATTTGAATCTATACCTCGCAATCGAATCTTATAATGAGTCATTTTATTTTTACATACGGCAGCATACGGAGCATCACAAACTTTTCTAATATAGTCGTATATCATACCCTCCGGACAATTTTCAATAAACTGACGTCCGTTCACGCAAGCGTAATATTTGGTGCAAGAGCGTTCGTGAGGCACGAACGCATTTCCATTCGCTGGACATTTCATCATGATATTTTCCTTGGTTGCGTCAGGTAGAAAAGATATAGCCAGCTCGGTTTGTTTGAACAAGTTCAAAGAACATTCGCTGCCCGGTGGCCAAGTACACATACCTTTCATTTCATTGAAAGATAATCCATCTTCGCACGTTTTCTGTGTTTTAACACCATTCACACATTCGTAATACAAAGTGCAATCCGTCTTGTCAGGAATATATTTAGTGCCGTTTTCAGGACAATAGACGTCAGACACGCATTGTCTGCGTCTATTATTGAACACTTGACCCGACGCGCAATCTCTTTCAACGTATTGCCCATCGACACATTCGTAATACAGAGATTTGTATTTGTAATTACATTCGTGTGGGAGAAGTACAGTCTCCAACAATTTGCCCGTTGGACACGAATCGTAAACTTTACACTTGGTGGCATTTTTGTCTACGCATTCTAAAGAGTCAAAATTAAATAGCTGTCCCTCGTCACACATTTTTAAGACTTTCTCCCCGTTCTCGCATTTGTAATATAATCTGCAGTTGGAGGGATGAGGTTGTATGAATTCGTCCGTTGAACAATCCGGAGCCCTTGACGCGCAATTTGCCTCCCATGGGAAAGTACAATTTTGAAGTTCAGGGTCGAAATGTAGCTTCTGTCCCGGGGCAAATTCTGGGCAATTCGAAAGTTGCTTCTGCCCATTGGAACACTCGTAAAACTTGGTACAATCGTGTTTGTGAGCGAGCTGTACGGTTTTGCCCGAAGATTCTGGACATTTTGTTGGAATTTCGCGTATTTCGGCAAAAGCGTTCCCCGTCACTGCCAAAACGGCAATGACCAGTAATAATAAATCTGAAATAGAAGAAAATATCGAATCTGCCATTCTGTATATCAATACTATTCTGCGTGTCATGAGGGAAAAGCTGATTTTTGTTTAAACGGGAAATATTGTTAAATAGATTGTTCAGAAAATTAAATGATTAATAGATTTTGATTTTTAAATGTTTCGATTCGCTATAAATGATCAATTTTTTTTCTTCTGTTATTATTATTAATAACGGATTAACAGAATTCCATTATAGATAATAATTATTAGTAGGAAAAAAAATTCCGTCGCCGATAATGAACGACCAAAAATAATGTCTGTTATCGGTAATATTTGTCGGTATATTTTGATTAGAACTGTTATGACGATTTTAACTTATCGAATATCTAGTGATCAGAATGTATCGCGATCGGGTAATTTTCTACTTATTTATCTACCATCTTAAAAAATAATTACAAATTATTTCCAAATTCAAATTACTTACATCTCATTGCAACAAATTTTATTGTCATTTTTCGCTACGCTTTCATCACTTTACGCTATCTTAAATGCGAAAATAACGCACTCTTTTATAATCACTTTTTCAAAAGAACTGGCATTTTCAAAATACAGTATTAGACTTTTATAGCTAACGTATCGAATTATCGACCTGATAACTTACATCAATTTCTTTTATTTGGTGTATCACGTGACGTTATCTTTTAAGAATGAAAATTAAGTTATTTACAAGCGATAACGTTTCGAAATCTACGTATTTAGGTGATCCATGAAGCAAGTGTAGCAAGATTGTGTAATAATTGTTTACAGTAGACGAAATATAGGCATCTCGAAGGATTAAGTTCTGAGTAACGTATTCGAAATACCAAGAAATTCGAAGCGGTTGATTCTGCGTAACAATTCCAAAGAAGGTAGGATATACGTAAACTATTGTTAGAAGATTATCATTGATAAAATTATCTAATAATAGATAATTAAAATACTCTTATAATAGAAATGGAATCATCCCTTATATTGTAAGAGAATCGGATTATTCGATTATAGCTTAAGACTCCTTGACAAAAATTTAATACCAGCGTTCTTAAAATATAATCTTAACACAATTCGGCTGTATCACAATTATCCCGATAAATGCATATAGATACAATCGTAAATTCGAAAAAGTGTTATTCATTTTAGCGGTTTCGTTTGATCTTTTCGATGAATCGCGATAATGGTAATGGAGGTCTTTTTACATCATCGAATTTGTTCGTTTTCTTTGTACACCTTTTCAAGAGCTGATTACCAAAACTGTTTCGTATGATCGTTGATAGGAAAGTGAGCTATACTTACATATTTCGATGTTGATAAGTATCATCAAGAGAGATGACAGGCAAAAGAAATGCAATCTTGAATTTATTTATTTATTTATTTATTATCTATTTAGCAAATCACGGAAACAAGACCTATGGTACAAGGAAGAAAACGAGTTACAATATCGTGTAACAGGTATACAACAAAGAAAACAAAAAGAAATACATATATAAGTATATAAGAAAAAAGACATACGAAGGAAGTTAAATTATAACACATTAGGTTTTGAACAATTGCAACACTGATCATCTTAACTAATCATGTATGCAGTAAGATCCAGAGAAGAGATCTGCTTGTTGCTATTTGCATAATTGCATATTCTGGTGACGAAATCACTAAATCTAGGATCACTCGAGAAGTGAATCTGAAAGACCCAGAGTATTTTGTAAAGAACGTGAGCAAGCATCGAAATTAATAAGTTAAAGTAACAGAGGATTGACAATGTCATTATTGACGATTTTGAATAAAAAGAAATTATGAAATTTTATCAGATATATATTATGTATCTCTGATTAAAATTTCAGAGATTTTTTCAAAAAACATAATGCATAAAAGCATATACAACTCACAGCAAGCGGAAATCTCAATCTTTTACATTTCCTTCCACTTTCGACTATGTTTGACTACGATGAAGTTAATCTACCGTTACGACAAAGGATTACCGTCAACAATATTTTCAAACATATTTAATACATATCTATGTACATTCATTTGTGCCGAATTTCGTCTGCTTTCACTTGTTATCCATTTGCTAGTAAATGATTTCATGTCTATTTTGTACGTCGATAGTGTATGTAGCTTGGTGTTATGTTACCGATGGTCGATAACAACGATGTTCAGAGGATAACAATAATCTTGTAGTTGCATGGAATAAATACATGCCTCGCAAATGCAACGCGAGCGTCTCTGGCATCGTTGCATCGGTGATGCACGTCTTCGTCGCGCTCCCTCAAAAGTAACGATCCAATGAGAAGCGTGTAAACAATGGTTGGAAAGCTTAGGATTGGCTGCGTTGTCGCCAAGTCGAGTCAGAGGAACCAATCAGGTAGAACGAATCTCGATCCAAGGGAAAATGCATCGGTCGTCCTTTACCCCCACCAGTGACGGCGGCACGTCTCATATTCAGTAGACTCGGCCATTTCTATCGTGAAGCGTAGCTACTCGCTCGGCCGCGACATTTTTTCTGTAAAATCGTGCGGGTATTCCCGTAAGCTTTGCAAAATAACGCGACGCAAAAGGATGATACACTCCGGGCGCACCAGGCTCGAGGTAAGTCAATCCATCGTCTGACAGTAAACGGACTGGCTATGAAACGCGCGTCAAAGTCACTACGGGGGGGTCGTGCGTGTGTCCAATGTTGTCATTGCCGAGGCGAACAGCTGATCCGCTCCCCTGGCCTCCGTAATGCTTGGCAACGTTTTCTCGGTTGGTTCTCGGCCTCTTGCCGTGACGATGAGCAATCAAAGTCGACGGTGAACAACATATTTCGACGATGCGTCGTTCACGAACAGTTAAAGGAGTTCTTACTTTTTGATCGCTACCATTTCGCGTATATCTCCCTTCTCGCTCTCCTTCCTTCTCTTTACCTCTCTATCGCCGCGCACTCTTGCTCTCTCTCTGTCTCTATCTCGGCCTCTTTTTCTCCTTCTCGTTTACCGTCTCTATTTCTCTGATCGACCAACCAACAACCAGCCAACTCCATCCTTTGTTCTTCTTTCTTTCTGTACCTTGGTTCGTTCCCTTTCAATTTCTACGTCTTCGTTTTCGTCTTCGTCGAGCCCGTTGTCACCCTCGTCATCGTCGTCATCGCAATCGCTCATCTAAACGATAACAGTACATATCTACATTCGTGTAATGTTTTGTTCCCACATTTCGCGCATTGTCTTTCTCGTTTGTTCCATCGTCGTCGTCGTCGTCGTCGTC